TGTTGGTCTGGTAGAAATGTAGCAAGAGATTCCATCTTCTCCCAAAGGAAGTATTGGTAGTGAGCCATGGTAACCTTGTAATTTGAAATTCATAGTCTGAATCTCATTGCTGAGGCATCATGTCAATTTTCCACTCTTCTTGATCAGCTGGTGCAGTGTGCTCTCGATTCTGATGGTCCTGAGCAGGTTCAATGACCCCCAAATTTGGGCACAGATGTCTTAAGAGAATGACCTGTTCCTTGACCTTATATATGGATTTGAGGCACTGAGATGTTGGATGCAATGGTCTGGTAATTCCCACAGTTCCATCATTGCTTGCCAGTCTGTGGGGCCACTGGGACGGCATCCTCCATCCTAATAACATCATAAATGTTATCCTGTTCCAGGTCACTGAGTTGTTGGATGTTATTTCCCAGTGATGTTGCCATACAGACCACTTGCTTTGAAAAATGGCCCATGCCTGGACCTTGTGTCTACACCATGAGGTCAGGTGAAGTGGCCGCCTGTTCAGCAGCCTCAGAATCCATGTCCGACATGAAGATCATGTTCAAGGAAGAAAAATGTGTCACTGATCTTTCTTCCACTGGACAGGCAGCAGTAGCAGTCTCATCCCAGGATGCCATTGTCTCTGACGGAGCAGGCAATAGATATGGAGGTCCATAAGGTGGGAAGTAATCCCATGCAAATTCAGGTCAAGTCTTGAAATGGAGTGGGCATCCAATACTGGTTCCTTCCATACCAAGGAATCTCTGATTCAGATGCATGGATGGATTTGTGCGTTGAACTCAAAGAAGTTTCAATAGAAGGTGGTCCATACAGTGTAGGCATGGCAGGACATTGGACTTGATTCTGAGGGTCCTGAATCATCCACACCGACAATTCAGAAGGTATCGGAGACTGTGCAGGAGACTCCCAAATTTCTCCCTCTGAGATGGACATTGGCAGTGTTGGTTCTGGGTGATGCAAGCCAGAAGTACTAGACCGGGAACAAGGAGATAGCCTCACTGCACAATGTGGAGACAGTCCTGGAGTTGTTTGTACCGATGAGGCATAAACTGGAGGTTTTCTCGGCACCAACAGACTTGGTTCCATTTCAATCCAGTTTGGAACCTCTGTGTGACCAAACAGGAGCGCCGTTTACATTTCTTTTCTGGCTTCTCCTTCCTGGGATGTTTTTTCTTTTCAGTTTCTTTGGTTTTGAGATGTTTCAGTTTCTCCTTTCATTTTTTGGGAGATTGAGACCAGCCAGGACACTCTTTGGCAGTCCTGGACCTCTTAGCCGTTGGTTGATTAGCCAACTCTGAGCACTCAGAAGCCCCTTTTTCAGCTGTAGGAGGATCAGCAGATTTGTCAGAGGTAGCCTCCTTCATAGCAGTAAGAGCTCTGTCCCAGAGTTCCTTCTTCAGTCTGCTTTCATTATTTTTGCACACTGGACACACTTGTGCATGCAAAACCAATCTCCAAGACACAGGAGGCAGAGTAAATGCATGTCTATAGATGGCATTTTGCTCCTCACTGTGTATACTTTCTCTCTCTCTCTTTATATATATATATATATTTAATTTAAACAAACAGAAATATAAAAAACAAACAAAAACCATCATATAAAGGCAAAACACTGTGCCATCGAGAAAGAAAAGAATTACAGAAGATGAAGAAGACGACGAAGACGACAACAATGACAATAGTTGCTTGGGGGGTTGTGAGGGAAATAGAAGTGGTTGTGGGGAATTAGAGGGAATAAGGAGGGTACAGAAGGATATAAGCTGAATAGAGAAAGGGTTTTATAAAAGATTTACAAAAGATTTTAAGAAAAGCAAGATCTTTGTGAGGGAAATCAAAAGTAGTCTAAGAGAACCTGAGGCCCAGTGAACGGCGGTCAAACACAAACTGGCGATAGGGCAGGTACTTTGCCTATTTATATGAAGGGAAGGAGTGCGGAGTTCCCACCAAAACATTAATAAACTGAGAGAATTTTCCTGAATGCAGGCACTGTGCAGGAGCAGTGGCCATAAGTGTGATGCACAGAGACCATGACAAGAATGAATGGTCTCATGGGTGTGACTGCTCTCAGGACTGACCCGGGTCCCTGGTGTTTATAGTAGGTGGGGGCTCCCTCCTGAGTTTCAACTGTCCTTTAGCTCTCGGCGCTTTCAGGATTGACCAGACCCTCGGCATCAATCGTAGACAGGGGCTCTCGTGGCATCTGCACTTCCACTTGATGGCAGCAGCCTTTCCCCCACAAGCTTGAGTGCTTTCCTGGTCAGGCACTTGGAATCTGCAGCATTCAGGATTCTGGCCATCAGTTGAACAGCCCCATGTTTCCAAGCCTGCTTTGTGAAGGCCTGGCAATGGTGGTATGACTCAACGATGTGTCCCTCACCGAAACAGAGGCCCTTCGTGGTTGAAAGGCAGAGGGAGTGTCTGTCTAGGCAAGGGAAAGATTTACTCACACAGCAGACACACTTTCTAAAATTGTTGTAAGCCGCCCCGAGGCTTTGGCGAATGGGGCGGCATAAAAATGTTTCAATAAATAAAAAAATAAATAATAAAAATAAAGGGTGCCTTTGATGCCATTACAGTAGATGGGGAAGGCAGAGAGCAAAGAATGGTGAATGGACTGGTAGAAGGATGCAAAAGATGAGAGAGAAGCAGGTAGGAAAGTTTGTGGGGAGGTTAGATTTTACAAGTGAAGAGTGAAAACAAAGTTCATGGAGAGATGGTCACTGAGTAGGAGGCCAAGGAGTAGAAAGTGGTAGAGAGAAAGGAGTAATGAATGCTGAAAAAAAACCTTAAGTTGAAGAGAGAGGCAGTTCCTCATCTAGGCACAGAGACGGTTGAAAAGGAACTGAGGGAATGGAAGAGAGCCCTTCCCATGGATGTAGGGAACAGGAAGAAACTTCCCCACAACAGGCTCCATTCATGTGCAGGGCCTTTATGTGTCATGCCCAGGGACCATGAAGAAGTCATGGGGCACTGTCATGTCATGAGAATCTACCATGGGCAATTTAATGTGGCTTATATGCTCAGTTTCTTGGCATGTTATAGCAAGTAGGAAACCATATTTTGCAAGTTCTTGGGAAAAAATATGGGGAACATGAGTTCATGAGTTGCAAAAGCACCCTTTGGGCAGAATCCTCAGGATTTTGTAATGCTAATGTGCCCCTTATTTTTCCCAGTGTGGATTACCCAGTGGGGCACATGATGTTTACCCCACAAACCCAAGAGCATCCCCTCATTTCCTGCCCCTTTCCCATCATGATTTCCAGGGGTTTCTTTCGCAAGCACATCACCCAATGGCCCCCTCCATTTTGCCATTTACCCAAGTCAATAGCACCTCAGGGAGCAGCCAAACTGGGGAGAAGGATTCACACTGCCAGGACACTCAACACTTGACAGTTTGACTCCTTCCTGTTACTAGAAATCCTGTCCAGTTTTGAAGGTTCCCCTTGCTAATGGGGGCACTTTCAAAATCAGGGAATGGGGGCAAAAAGCAGGGGAGTGTGCTACAAAATTGAGAAAATAGACCTTTTTTGCAAAGCACAATACCCTGGGTTTTCCTTTGCAAGTACATGAAACCTTGAGACCTGGTACTGTCAAATCTTAAATCTTAATCTTGCTTGTTGTAAACCATCCTGAGACACCAGCAGAGGACCGGTCTATAACAGCTTTAAATAAATAAATGTCTGTCATTTGTTTGTTTGTTTTTGCAAGGAGACACAGAGGAACTACTTACTTGCAACCTTGGATAGAAACTGTACAGGATAACTGCCTGCTGAATTGTGCCAGCAATCACTCCCCTTGGGATAACTCAATTGATGGTTAGTACAAACTGGGCCAATTAGGGTCATTAAAAAACTGAGGATGCAAGAATGGAACTTTTTTTAATGGAATGACAACAGGCAGCTCTTCAAAGACACCACTGGGACTCCTTGAAGGGAACAGCTCATAGCTATCAAAAACGTGAATCACAAAAGTCACCCTGAGAGGCAGCTTTCAGAATATTTAAAATCAGGTTTTAAAATTGAAAAGACAAGCCACTTTGAGCCTGCCATAGTTTGCTGTAGCTGAGGAAACCCTGGTACTCCTGTGCTGTCCCATAGGACAGCTGAGGAAGGAGGAGCATGCAGGACGAGGGGAGGAGTTGTGTCCAGACCCCCCTCTCCATACCTCTGTCAGGTGGATCTAGGACCCCCAGGCAAAGGAAGCCACAGGGGCATTGTTGTGTTGTTTGAACCCACTGCACATGTCAGTAGAACATCAATGTACATTTACTAGAGGAAGGGTGGCAACACCTGGACCTTCACTGGCTATGCTGGCTAGTGCTTGGGCTGAAGTTGTGGACTGCAACAACTTGAAGGCCACAAGCTGCCCACCCCAATCTAAAGAAAGGCTTAAATCAAAACAGATTTGCCATATTGAGTTAGAGCAGTAATACAATTGTATTTCTATTACTATTGTTATTATTCCTGCCTATTCACAGTGACTGGAACTCAAGGCCACTTTCTACACCAATTCAGGTTAAATGTGTCATTTCTCAGACACATGAGCTCACTAAAATGTGGGTAAACTATACAAGGCTATATTTCAAACACTTCGCTGGCCACAGACAATCCTTCAAACTATGGTACAGAGAAGCATGAACATGTGTTGTGCTTGCATTCTTCCTATTCTCTTTCTCTTCTCCACTCACACAGAATTTAATTCACTGTTTCTTTTTTTGTCCAAATGGGATAACAAAAATTTGAATGGGTGTTCCAAACCATGAACACAGGCCTAGTTTAGAAGTCTGCCACTTTCTAGGCATAAAAGATGAACTGATGTTATGAATTAAGGTCTGTATGCAAGGAGGAGGCAAGAAGAGAAGGGAAGAAGAATGCATAAGCAAAAAATAATGTAAGCAAACCATGGCTTGAAGGATTATCTGAATGCAGCCAGTGCTCACACAGCAATGTAATCTCTAAATGCATGCAGCTTAATTGAAAACAAAGAAAACTGACCCACTGTTGCAGGGGAGAAAATTTTCCTGTTACTGCTTTCAAGACTTCTTGACTGGCAACACCCCCGAGTGCTGCTGTGAGAGGTGCTAAAGAGCCCTGAGCTGTCCTGGATATCCATTTCACAATATCTTCATTAACTTGAGGCTGTAATTTAAAACAAAGAACTCCTTTCAGATATTAATATACTTACATTATTCCAAGTAGGTTCAAAGTAATTTCTCACTATTTCTGCAAAAACAGGCCCTTGTGGAATTCTATGACAAGGTTTTGAGGTGGCTAAATGGAGGGGACTCAGTGGATGTGGTTTACCTGGATTTCAGCAAGGCCCTTGACAAAGCACCACATTCTGGTTCCTGACTCCAAGCAGAGCAGAGCACATCAGAGCAAGCTGCCCCAGCTGGTCTAGGGCCTCTGGAATACAAGCAGCCAAGCTTCCAGGGAGCAAGCAACCAGAGCGAGCGAATAGGGAAAGCCATCAGGAGTTTGGCGGAGGAGATCCAGCAGGAGGTCCCTAACATTTTCCCCCTGTCTTGCTTCTCTTCCTTATTTCACCTTAAATCCCTTGCTGCACATGGTAGCACAAGCAATGCACCAAGAAGACTCCACAGTGGAGCCCTGCAACAACTGCAAATGCTGCACAATGGTACCCCTATTACAGGAAAAAATGAGAGCACTGGAGTAGCGAGTGTTCACCCCCCAGACAATAAAAGAAAATGAAGAGTTCCTAGACAGAGCTGATGATTTCCCACTAATAGGTACCCTCTGTTTTCGGCCCATCAACCATGCCCTAAACCACCATACTGTGCATTGGTCTATCCCAAAACTCCTCAATTTCTCAACTAGTATCTCATGCGGCACTTTTAACATATAACTACTCACTTTGCCTTCCAAAGTTTTGCTTATGGATAGTGCTATCTTCAGCATCTCCTCAGCATCTTGAAAGCACCTAGAGTCCAAACAGAAAGATAATGAAATGGAAACCAGGCCTGGTACCAGCTTTTATTAGATGCTGGAAGAAAATAAGTCCATACACTGAATCAACAACACTACTTTTCTGGGGGATTCTTCACCTATGGACTAAAGCTATCAGTGACAATGGAGTCACTTTCCCATTCATTTTTATTCCACTGTTGCTTTTGTCTCAACATGCCTAGTGGCAATGAAGAAAGCTGGGTGGGTTCAGGCAACATAAATAAAATACCCTGAAGAGCGTGTAAAGTAGTATGCGTAATATAGGATTCCAAGTATCCCGGCTTTGCAACATGTAAGTCAAGGACTTTTAGTTGCACCAGAAGCCGCCAGCAGAGGCCTTTTCTGAGTTACCATGTGTGCAGCTAAATCACAAGCACTTGAGTGATCGTTTGCAGAAGGCATGAGGCAAACAAACTGGTTTTAAGAAACCATTTTTGAATTGAAGTATGTTTAGATTTATACACTCAGCACACTGAACAGGTTCACAGAACATGATAAGCCAGTGTGATTTATATATTTATAAATCACCCCTACTAGCCATGGTTTGTTGTAGGGTTCATTAAGACCATCGTGGCTTGACATGTCATCTGAACCCAGACATTAATTTCAGGGCAATCCACTATGAAGCTGCATGTAAGAAGTGAAAAACTGTAGCTGTTCCTGCATTTGCAAGGAAACTTGTTTCCCAAGCTCAGTCTGCCACCCCTCCAACCCAAAGTTTCTGGTGACAAACAGCATGCTAAGAGCTGCACACATACACACAAAGGGATTTACACGTTTTCTGCACCCCACAACACACAAATACTTCCACACACCTTAGTATAGAGGGATGGGAAAGTTTAAATCTCCAGTCCTTGCCTTCTGAAAGCTTCTCCCAGTCTCAGCAATCTCAACAGAGATTGCAGTTTCTCTGCCATTAGTATACTAGCTCTAGGGGAACATCAGTCCTGTAAGCAAGGTCACTAGAGCTTGGGAAAGGCTCACCTGTCCCACCCCTATCAATTTCCAGCAAGACTGCAGTTCCATCAATGTTAACAGACCTTGGGGAGAAATACTGATTGTTCTCATCATGCTTTGAGGATAAAAATGGGAAAGCCATATAAAAATGAATTGATAATGACTATGAGGCTTGATGCAGTCAACAGAGAATTAGCATTCAACAGGCATTAAAGGTAACCAGTAAAAACCAGTAACGACGGTGCCAGGCGGACCTCTTTGGGGAGTGAATTCCACAGGTTGGGCGCCACCGCAGAGAAAGCCCTCCTCCGGGTACTTACTCTCCTAATTTCTTTCATGGAGGGTTCCCGGAGAAGGGACTCACCCGCAGATCTCAAAGGGCGGTCGGGCATATACGGACGTAAGCGCTCGTTCAGGTAGCCAGGACCCAAGCCGTTTAGGGCTTTGTAGGTCATAATCAACACCTTGAATTGGGCCCGGGCTTCAATGGGAAGCCAGTGAAGCTGATGGAGGACTGGAGTCATGTGAGCATAACGCCCCGTCCCCGTCAGCAACCTGGCAGCTCTATTTTGCACCAATTGAAGTGTTCGGACCGTCTTCAGGGGAAGCCCCACGTAAAGCGCGTTACAGAAGTCTAGGCGGGAAGTCACCAGCGCGTGTGTCACCGTCGCCAGGCAGTCATACTCCAGGTAGGGGCGCAGCTGATTAATCAGCCGAAGCTGAAGGAAGGCGTTCCTCGCTACCGCTGTCACCTGAGCTTCCAAAGAAAGCTCCGGGTCGAGGAGTACTCCTAAGCTGCAGACCTTATCCCTAAGAGGGAGTGTTGCACCATTCAGGACCAGGTCAAATCCACCCTCTCCGAAACCCGATCCGCCAACCAACAGGACCTCCGTCTTGTCTGGGTTGAGTTTCAGTTTATTGGCCCTCATCCATTCCCTTACCTCGGCCAAGCACCGGTTCAGCACAGCCACTGCCTCACCTGGATTAGTGGAGAACGAGAGGTAAAGCTGGGTATCATCAGCGTATTGATGATTCCGCAGCCCACACCTCCTGATGACCTCTCCCAGCGGTTTCATATAGATGTTAAATAGCAGAGGGGATAGAATGGAGCCCTGTGGTACCCCATGGCATAGCTGCCATGACGTAGAGACATGGTCCCCCAGCACTACCTTCTGGAATCGACCGTCGAGATAGGAGCGGAACCACTGCAAAGCAGTGCCTCCAACCCCCAATCCCGCAAGTCTATCCAGAAGGATACCATGGTCGATGGTATCGAAAGCCGCCGAGAGGTCCAGAAGAACCAACAGGGATGTACTCCCCCTGTCCTTCTCCCTGCACAGGTCGTCGTACAGGGCGACCAAGGCAGATTCAGTACTGTACCCGGGTCTGAAGCCGGACTGAAAAGGATCCAGATAATCAGTTTCATCCAAGAGTGCTTGGAGTTGTCCCGCCACCACTCGCTCCAACACCTTGCCCAGAAACGGGATGTTGGCCACAGGTCTATAGTTAGTGGCCATCTCTGGATCCAGTGATGCTTTCTTCAGGACCGGTCGTATTACCGCCTCCTTTAAAGGGGCAGGCACTCGACCCTCCCTCAGAGAAGTGTTAACCACTTCCAAAATCCAGGTCCCAATCCCGTGCGGCATAGAAATGTTATAATAATAATAATAATAATAATAATAATAATAATAAAGGACTTCTTCAACTTCTTTTGTCCAGAGAATGAAGGCAGAAGGGATATGACAAACTTTCCCCATATAAGATCTGAAGTTAATGCTTGTGATGAAAGATAAAACTAGTTAAAGAAGTAACTATCTTATTGAAAAATGCAGTGTGCTTGTTCCACCCCCAGCACTCTAAACTAGGCTAATTTCTGGGCAGATATCACAGTATCTAATGCAGAATCTTATGACTAAGGACTTTCAGAAAGGGAGTATTATCCATGTGTGTCATTGTATTCCATGCCCAAGCAACCAAGAACTGAAATAGTTATATGGAATAGGCTTATCTAACTAACATTAATATATGATGATAATGATAATGATAATAAAGGAGGAGGAGGGGAAGGATTAGAGACTCCATCCATGACTGTCCTAAGCTGCTGACATCCAAAAAGGAAAGCATCAATACTGCACAAAACCAAGGTGGCTTAAATCAGCTGACATCATTGGGATTTTAACCAATTGAAGGGTGAGCTGGATTGTAGACCAACTGAATTAATTAAATGACCCAATGAGCACAATAACTACTGATACCAATCTCTTTCTCTCTAGCAATGTTTAAATTACATTCATAAACTGTAACATTTATGCAGCTTTTGATACAGATTCATTACCCAATGTTTGGCATACGAATAAAATCTTCCTGAAACTGATTCAAGGCAAGCATAGCAATATGGATCTGCAGGGGTGCCTATAAAGAGGAAAACAGTAAATGATCAATGAGATATCAAGCAATCAGATAGCATAGAAGTCTGTCTATATTCCGAGGGATGATCAAGTTAAACCTACTGCTGCAAGAACAAGACTCCTGTGGCACTTTAAAGTACCAGATTTATTATGGCAACCACTTTCATGGCCTATACCCTATGTTATTGGATGTACAACATAGTTTTCTTTGGTGTTCACATATCTGACAAAAAGGGCTTCAGATATTGAGCACAGTGTCTAAATAGATTTGGATTGAGAAAGATGTTCCAACAGTTATTGCTATCCCAAGCCGTGAAATGCTTTATAAATTAAAATCAGCCCCTTATCTTGGGCTCAGAAGCATACAGGCAACCAGTGCAAGCAAACCATATTGTATTTATGTTCCAGGCTTCTGGTCCAAATCATTAATCTGGCTGCTGCATTTTGCACAAGCCAAAGCTCTTGAACTGCTTTCAAGAACAGTTTCACACAGATTACAGTAATCTAACCTAGAGATTACCACAGCACAGAAAGGCAGGTTGCTTACCTGCAGCTGTCATTCTTCAAGTGGTCATCTGTACATTCACACATGTGGACATTGCCGTGCAGTATAAGGCCTGGATCAGACAGAAACTGCCAAAACTAAATGTCATGGAGTGGCCAGGAGCCTCTGCTTCTGATGCCCTGGATAAGAAGGAAGGGCTCCCGTCCACTTCTTCAGGTGTCTTGAAAAGGCAGGTTGCTCACCTGTAACTGTTGTTCTTCGAGCAGCCATCTGTGCATTCACACATATGGGTGCTGTGCCTGCGCAGTGCCTGTAGCTGGAAAGATTTAAAAGCTTAACGGTTTTGGTGGGAACTCCACACCCCTCCCCTGCTACAGTATAAGAAGGCGGAGTGCCTGCCATTTCATCAGTCTACTGAAGACCAACCATTCACCCCCAAGCGGGAGTGTTAAGTATTACAGAGCACCTGCTCAACACTAAGCAGACATATACATAGAAATATATATGAAGAGAACCCGTCTGCGGATCCGCCGTCAAGGGAAACACAGTACCATAGAAACCCAGTCACCGACACTGAGTGGGGCCAGCGGGTGGGTTGTGGGAATGCACAATGGCCACTCGAAGAACGAAAGTTACAGGTGAGCAACCTGCCTTTCTTTGTCGTGGACTCTGTGCATCACACATATGGGTGATTAAGCAAGCTTACCAGACCCGGAGGCGGGGCGGTGTCATCATTGGAGAACAGAAGAAAGGACTGCCTGACCAAAGCAGCAATCCTGTCTGGCATGCACATCCAGGTGGTCTGGCATGCACATCCAGGTGGTGATGTCTGGCAAAAGTGCAAGGAGTAGTCCAAGTGGCAGCCTTGCATATGTCCTAGATCAGAATGCCAGCAGAAAAGGCAGAAGAAGCTGCAACAGCCCTTGTGAAATGTCCTCTGGGCATGACAGGTAAGTCCAACTTAGCAAGTTGATATGCCAGCTCGATGGTCTGTACAATCCATTTGGAAAGCCTTTGGGATCCAATAGGAGATCCCTTGTCATATTCTGAATACTTGATGAAAAGTCGGCTAGTTTTGTGAAAGGGTTCTGTGCTAGATCTGTAGAAAGCGAGGCAGCAACGAATGTCAAGAGAGTATAGTGATCGCTCTATAGGCATAGATGGAGTAGGGAAGAAGGCTGCTAAAATAATGTCTTGATTGACAATGGAAAGGTGACACAACTTTTGGTAAGAATGCTGAGTTGGTATGCACAACAATCTTCTCCTTGTGGAAACTGAGATGAGGAGGGTATATACAGAGCACACAGAGCTCACTGGCCCTTCTAGCCGATGTGATAGCAACAAGAAAGGCAGTCTTCCAGGACAAGAGGCGTAAGTCGGTAGTTGCCAAGGGCTTTATAGGAGACCTGGTGAGCGCCTGTAGAACAACAGAGAGGCTCCAATTTGGAATAATTGGTCTAATCGGTGGCTGAAGATTCTGTAGTCTTCAAAGGAATCGACGAATGAGGACATTAGAAAATATCGATGAGCCTGCCACCTGGCCACGGTAATGAGAAATTGCTGCAATGTAAACTTTGATGGATAAGGGTTTCAGTCCAGTCTGGTGTAATGACAGGAGAAATTGAAGAATATGTTCAATGGAGGCTGAGTGAGCAACAAAGTTATTGGATTCAGCAAAAGACGTGAAACGCCTCTATTTAGCCACATAAGAGCAGCAGGTCATAGGTCTTAGCGCAGACTGGAGAATGAATTGAATATCAGGATGCAGAGCACTCAGATCTGATGTAGTGTTTGTCGGTATCGAGGAAGAACGAGCAGTAGTGTCCAGACACCACCAGGTTGGTGTCGGGACCATGGGAGCCATCGGTACCGAAGAAGCACCGTGACTCATCAAATGAGCCAGGCTGTTAAATTGAGTGAAGGAAGATCCAGGTAACATACACCTCCGTTCTGCTGAGTTATTAGATGAGGTATCAGAGGCAGTCGCTGAAAGGTGTTGCCGGACAGACGGAGAATGGTAGGAAACCATGGTTGGTGGGGCCACCAGGGAATGACAAGAATTCCCTGAGCCTCGTCGAAGGTGATCTTGGTGAGAGTTCTCGTAATAAGTGGTATCAGAGGGAATGCATAAAAGAACGTGTTCATTCACGAGATCATTAGAATGTCCCCTCTCGAACCCGGGCCGATACCTGCTCGGAAGCAGTATGCCTTGCATACCATGTTCGCATGAGTGGCAAACAGATCTATGTCTGGAGGGCCCCAAGTCTGAAAGAGGTGATGGCAGATTTGACGATCTAATTCCCATTCGTGGGTCGTCGAAATCTGTCTGCTGAATGCGTCCGCCTCCTCATTGTTGGTACCGGCTAGGTGAACAGCGAGGAGGGTAATTTTCCTCGGAATTCACCAGTCCCACAGTTCCATAGCCAGGTGAGCCAGGGAGGCAGACTTCTTTCTGCCCTATTTGTTTATATAGAATACAGTTACAATGTTGTCGGAGACAACTTGAACAATTTGTCCCCGAAAAGTGCCCTCAAACGAATGAAGGGCTTTGAAGACTGCCAGTAGCTCTAGGTAATTGATGTGCTTGGTGGTCTCGTGATAGTCCCAGGTGCCTTGAGTACGGAGGCCAGCACACAGGGCTCCCCACCCGGTGAGGGAGGCATCGGTGAACAAAGTCAGTGTTGGGTGAGGCGGGCGGAACGGAATGCCAACAGACAGATTGTTCTGTATAGTCCACCATGATAAGGTCTGGAGAATGGAAGTTGGGAGGTGGAGGAGCCAGCAAGGCGAGTTTCATTGAGGCTTGAAGAGGCCATTGAACCACAGTTGGAGGGGCCTCATCCGTAGTTTGGCATGCGGGACCACAGAGACCGTGGAGGCCATGTGTCCGAGGAGCTTTTGCACCGATAGTACTGGAACAGTTCTGTCCATGTGGATTTGCCGAATGGATGCACGAAGGTTGTCTTGTTGTCCCTGAGGAAGGAAGGCTTTCGCTATTGTAGAGTCGAGACAGGCGCCGATGAAATCGATGATCTGTGAAGGAACAAGGCATGATTTTTTTGTGGTTAATACACAGTCCCAAATCATCTAAGAGGGTACAAGTAGTCCAAATCGACGATCGAAGGCCTTCTCTAGATGAGGAGACAATCAACCAGTCGTCCAGGTAAGGGTACACTTGAATTCCCTGGAGCCGGAGATGAGCACACACCGGGGCCATGCATTTAGTAAAGACCCAAGGAGCTGTAGCCAGTCCAAACGGTAAAACGTTATATTCAAACAGGTCATAACCGACCGTAAATCGAAGAAGACACCTGTGAGATGGATGGATGCTGATATGAAAATAAGCATTCTTTAATTCCAGAGAAGCAAACCAATCCTCTCTCCTGAGCAACGGAAGAATGTTTTGAAGGGTGGTCATCCGAAACTTTTTAGTTTTGATGAATTTGTTGACACCATGTAAGTCCAATATCGGACGAAGACCACCGTCATGTTTAGGAACCATGAAATATCTCGAGTAGAAACCATGTAACCCCTCGGAGCGTGTAAGTTGTAGGATTGCTCCCTTACGAAGAAGCTGTTGAACTTTGTCTTTGAGAACCAATGACTGAGGTGTAAATTGGATCAGTCCCGATGGGGGTACGGTATCGAAATCAATTCTGTAACCATACTCCACGATGGATAAAACCCACTGATCAGATGTGATGGACTCCCAAATGGGGAGTCAACTTTGCAGTCGATCCCCAAAAGGAAGAGGGGAGGGTGGGTTCAGGAGATGAGAAGAGGCTCGCTCAGCCCGTCAGCACTGGCGTTTATCTGAATCCAGTCGGCGGCAGCTCTGTTGAAAATGCTGTGGTGGTTGCTTTCAGCGCTGCTAACAAGGCTGAAACTGCTGCCGGCCAGAGAATTGTGTATAGGGTTGATACTGGTACAATGGACGGGACCATGACCACTTACGTCGAGACTGGTTGGGGACTTCCATCCGACGAGCTGTCACATGCGATTCATGAATCGTCTTCATCTTGTGGTCTGTCCGAGCATTGAACAGCCTCGAGCCGTTGAAGGGCATGTTCTTGATGCGGCGCTTCGTTTCATCCAGAAAGTTGCAGTTCCAGAGCCAGGAATGGCGACAGAGGGCTACAGCACCAACAAGGGCCCTCGAGTTGCAATCGACATCATGTCTTGCCATGGAGAGTTGTTGGACTGCCACCTGCATTACCTCTTTAGTGAAAATCAGGGCCAGGTCTCTTTGCTGTTTCAGAAGCAATGCTGTGATATTTTCCAGCTTTTGCATAAGAAAATACTGGTAGAGGGCCAGCGTCGCCTCATAATTGAAAATCCGGAGGCTGAGACCTGTGGCGGCGTAAATACGATGAGCCACCATGTTGATCATCCGTCCTAATTTATCGCAAGGAGTGGTGTGTTCCCTCGACTTGCGGCCTTGAGACGACTCCACGACGATTGAGTTCAGTCTCAGGTGACACAGGAGGAATGGAATAGCC